AGGTGGTCGTTTACTAGAGGTTCCAGCTGTAAGGCTTTGACTGGGAAAGTTTTGGTGGTTTGGATTGGCGTTCGCTTATGGGAGGCGGTCTCTTACGAGAGGTGATCGCACATGGAGGTTCGACTGTACTTTAAAAGTATGATCTATCAAATATTAAAATTTATCAAAAGAATAACATATTTCGTCCCGAGATGATCCTTAGACCTTTAAATACAGGTTTATTTAACAATCAATGAATGAGGCTGAGTATCTTATACAAAATTATGGAGATCGAGGAGGGTGTTATCCGTCGAGGCCGTAGGCCAAGGCAGATACCACCCTCCGAGATCTCCATAATTCTCCATATGATACGAAAGCCGAATTCAATAATTGTTTTATTATTCATTCAAAATAATTCCTAGTTTAAAAATAAAGCTAAAACATGCTTACCTCCATCGATGTTAAGTTCACCTTCGATAGTGCACGTTTAGGGTTGTTCAGCTCCGCAAATATTCTCCAAATGGCAGATGTCGCCCTTCCAGTTGTGTTCTTGCTGTTCTTGCCATGTTTTTATCTATAATTTCGCCTAGTTCTTACCCTTGAAACGAGTGAAATGTCCTTTATTTTTTGTTTTCACAACTCAACCTCGTCCCCAGGTCTTCTCGGTTAACGGTGCCTCAACCTGCAAGAACGTTGCAGTTTTGACGTCATTTCCTCGTTAAACACAAAATTCTTCCAAATTTGGTCATCAGTAACTGGTTATGGTGAATTATGCGTGTGCTTTAAGCCAATCAGAATCGGGGAAATATTTTGAATGAATAATAGTACTATTTACATGTAACTCTTTGAAACAAAGGAAATTGATTTTTAACTTTTTTTGTTAACCGTAACTGAAAAAAATTAACCGATAGCCGTAAAAGAGCCAAAACTTTAACCGATAATCATAAAAGCCACCACCCCATTGAGACCCTCTTTTCATAGGATCTTGTTACGAGGCTGTTGTGGAGCTTAAGCAACCACGACAGCAACGACTTAGGTTACGTTCACACGCCACCGGACACCTTAACCGTACGAAAATTTAGACGCCTAGCCGTTCAAAGTTCCGTTCAGAGCAACAATATTGAACGGTCCCGTGTGAACGAAGTGTCCGGTCAAATTTTCAGCCGGGCGAAATTTCGTTCGATGCCGTGTGAACATAGCCTTAAAAAGTGAATTCGCGCTATTCCCAGTGCTCATTCGCGTAACACTGGCCTTAATTCTGACGAATTAGTAGCGAGGGATCTATTTCAGGCGTGTGTGTGCGTTTCTCCCTCGGGAGTGGCTTTCTTCATATAAATAAACACGCTTGTATGCAAATTTGTCCAGTTTGGATTCATGCGCCGTTGAAACCCCTTCTGAGGGTGGGGGGGAGGGGGGTATACACCCGTTTTGCTTTAGGGTTCGTTTCTTTAACCCTCCTTCCCCTCCATTGTTTCTCTTGTCTTAGTATAGTACTATTGCCTTCTCTCCTGCGGCCTCGCATGCCCCGTAACTCATCTTTTGAGTTCCCAGCCTTTGTTAAGCGAGCGTCCACTGGGAATAGATTAATTTTTCCCTTCTCGTTGCTGACGCTGTCGTCGTCGTTGCTTTAAGCTCCTTATACACCTTTTGCCCTTCATTACCAGGAAATAAATTTCATACGTGTCAAAATATCAGCCGATATAATGAATGTGTAATCACTGCGGGAAAAAAAATTAAATTACATAGAGAAGGACACTTAACAATACCAATAAATTTTGACCAATATGAAATGGAAGCCATGTGCACGATGTGCACGTGCAGAGGTTCCAAGATTTTAATGAACGGAGAAATTGACAGCTTTTTCTTCAAGTAGTATACTTTGTCAACAAATGTGAAGCCATTTTTTCTACAGAGCAACTTAAGTTTTCTAAGTGCACTTGAATCAAGTGCTTCCTTGAAATATTGAGAAAACCGGTTAGTTTTCAGGATCACAAGAACGAAAGAACAACAAAATTTCCTATCATCAAAATATAATATTAAGCATCATTCTGACGCTACTTGAGAAAAATTTGGGTCATTTATAACGTTTTTATGAAATAATCTATCACGGTTATTGAAAATTTAAGGTTTGAAATACATTTTCCTTTTAGTCGAAATGAAACATACAGAATTTTTTACTTCTTACGGAGATTGTTAGCTAAACACCAAACTTTAAGTTCCTATTGTTGGATTTTCAGTAGCAGGTCTAGATCACACAAAATTCGGCTTTTATCAATTTCAAAGTTTTTTGTTCATTGCTGTCATAGTAATATCGATTTTACTTAACACTACATTTTCACAAATTTCAATCCATAGCCAATTACTGGTGAACATTTTATAGCGATCGGACAAGGAAAAAAAAACACTTTTAAGGCGATTGAAAAATATCGGTATGGTCTCTGAAAAACTGTATCAAA